CCCAGAGGTCCCTTAGACTGTCCTCACTCTTTTTAATTCTTTTCTCTTTTACCTGTTCACCTTGGGTAATTTCTTCTAGTCTTTCTTCCAGCTCACAGATCCGAGATTTTTAAATTTTTGATGAGGTTCAATTTGATAATTTTTGCTTTGATGGTTAGTGATTTTTGACACAAATGCATTTGAAAAGTAGAGCATATTCACTCTCATATAAGACTCCTCAATGGCTTCCCATGTTTTAGGAATAAACTCTAGTCTTTACCTTTACCCTAAAAGCCCTCAACGACTTGGTCCTCAGCAACTCTCCAACGTCATCTCATATCCCTCTCCCTCTCCCGCTCTGTGCCCCCAGCACATGCATCTTCTCTCTATTCCTCAACCACATTAAGCTTGTTCCCACTTTACGGTCTTTGCACTTACTATTCCCTCTGCTGAAATGCTCCTTCCTCATCTCTCTGTATGGATGGCTCTATCCCATCCTTTAGGTCTGGGCTCAGATATTGCCTCCTCAGAAGTCTGGTCCTGACTATCTTCACTAAAGTAGCTATGCCCAATCACCGGTATACATCTCATTACCCTATTTTGTTTTCCTCATAGCACTTACCACAGAGAAATAGCTTACATATTTATTTGTTTTCTTGTTTATTGTCCATCTCTCCTATTGGAATGCCAAGTCCATGAGGGTGGGGATCTCTTTTGTCCTGTTCACCACTAGGATGGGGCAGGTTATATATTAGGTACTCAACTGTATTTGTTAAATTAATAAATGAGTCTCTTTGAAATGCTAAAGTAAGGATCCATTGAAGAGCTGGCATATTCCACAATATCTACGTGTGTGTGTGTGTGTGTGTGTGTGTGTGTGTGTGTGTGTGTAGGAGGTGGTAGAACCATCTAGGTAGTTCTGATAAACAAATTTTTAAATATTCCAAAGGTTTCACCTTAACCAGATTTTTAATTGATTTGAGGGCGTTCTTTGGATCTACATGTTTCATGCTGCATGGAACATCTGTCTGCCTTTGCACATCTTGGTTTCTCTGCCTGGAATGTTCTCTTCCTCTTCCCAGAACAAGCATCATGACCTATATGAAAACTTGGTTGACTTCTCCAGAGAGAGTTAGGGCTCCTTCCTCAGTGCTACCATCATACTTTGGTCATCCTTCTATTACAGCACTTGTCATGCTGCTTCAAAATATCTGTTTATATGACTGTCTCCATCTTTAGACTGTGAGCTTCTCAAGGGCTGGGTCATCTCTGTATCTCTAACTCTGGCAAGAGTAAGCAGTGGGCAAATATTTGTTGAATGTTGCTGTAGACTGAAAGTTTGTGTCTCCCCAAAATTCATATGTCAAATGCTAACATCCAATGTGATGGTCTTAGGAGGTGGGACTTTTGGGAAGTGACTAGGTCATGAGGGTTGGAGCCGTTATCAATGGGATTAGTCCCTTATGAAAGAGGCCCCAGGGAGCTCCTTCATTCCTTCCACCATGTGAGAGCACAGCAAAAAGACAGCTGTCTACGAACCAGGAAGCAGGCTCTCACCAGACACAGGATCTGCTGGGGCCTTCATCGTGGGCTTCCCAGCCTTAAGAACTGTGAGAAATAAATGCCTGTTGTTTATAACCCATCCAGACTGTGGTATTTTGTTACAGCAGCCCAAACAGACTAAGATAAATGTTGAATGAAGGGATAATAGTGCATGTAATAATGGTAGTATTATGTCTGAAAGAGAGGAAAAAATACATCATATAAATACACCTAGATAATGCTGTCATAAATAATATGAGCTGGATTGTTGATTGGCAGCTTAACACTATTTCCCCCTTCTATGCTTTCCCTACATCTCAGGACGTGGAAGACTAGGAACTACATTTCTAGGATCCTTATCTGCAGAGTTATATTCTATAGGATATATTCTGCAAATGAGAGGCACTTGCTCAAGATTTAAAAGGTTGAAATGATGTAGCCATTATTGTTCCTGTATAGCAGATATAATAAAGCATGAGGTCTAATAGTAGCTTCTGTGTGTCCTTCTGTGATTTAGCCATTTTTGAGCTACAAGAAGCTGAGATCATCAGTACTGATGTCCTGAGATTCTAGCATTTCTAATTTTCTTAACTCTACCTCTCTCCCTTGGCCTCCTAAAGAGTTTTGCAAGCTTTAAATACTTAGATTAGGTTTTCCTGACCAAGCACTGATACATAACAGAGTTAGTATGTGTGGAAAAAAAATTTGTGAAAGAAAAAAATGAAAGAATTGATTCCAGAATTCAGCAAACCTTCCCTCTATTAATATTTACCAAGTTGGCAATAGTTTTGAAACTGGAAAACCAATACCCGTATTATCACAAATAATGATGTACAGTTGGGATATGATCTCTGTGGGCTTTCTCAGGAGTGAATGTTTTTTCAAAAATGTTTCAATATGGAAGGAACAAGTTGAACCACAGAAGACTGAAGGGCAAGGGAAAAGCTGGCCAAATGCCTAGGAATAATTTTACTTATTGCAAAGTGCAAAACATGGAGGGTCTTTTAGCTAAATCCTTTTCATTGCACATGCCTCCCTAATAGCAAATCTCCAGAAAGTCAAAATCCCAGACCTGGAGGTAGGGGTTCTCCTGTTGGGTCATTGCTGTTGGTTCCAGTGAGGGATGCCTGGAGCATATGCATTTTACGGTCGTTGGGAAACACAATTTTACTGTCTGATGGTCTTTGTTCTGAGAAAAAAAAAAAAAAAGAAACACTTGTTTATCAATTACAAATTATCTAAATTTTTACAGCTTAGGTGTTCTTAAAAAAGACAACCACTAGGAAGTTAGCCCTTTCTAACAGAATGTTCCGCTCCTGGATGCTCAGGCTCACTCAGGTTTGGGAGCCGTGTGTGGACTGGGTGTGTGGGGTGCCATAGGGGTTTATACAGAGTTATTAACTGTGCTAACACATGGCATCTCTGCATGTTTTCAAGGTTTATGGCTTAACTAACAAGATGGAAAAAATGTATTCACCAGAATTCCAAAAGGGACTGAAGGAAGCAGCGGAGCCAATGGAGCCTTGGGAGCAGGAGAATGGGCAATGTTTTACAGGGAACCTCACAGGGTGAGGAGTGCGGGCTTTTAGGAAGGCTGGGAAGCTTGAGCACCAGAACAGAAGGATGGTGGAGGAATGCTGTGTATTGTGTGATGTAAGACATTCCTGATTCCTCAGACAAGTTACCAAAGTCATGAGCTGCTTGGCTGGAGGGACTTCTGAGAGAGGAGGTGTGCAGGGCAGAACTGAGACAGCCGTGCAGATTCATGAATGGAGAGAGGGAGAAGCAAGGAATAATAGTTGGGACTTCTCAGAGAGTGGGGGGAAGGCATTCAAGAGTCAGAGAGGTTTGGCCTAGCCCATCTGTTGAAAATCTTCCATTCCATGGAGAGCCTAGGAGATCACAGAGGCTCATTGGGAAGGGCCACATGGAGGTACACTAGTGCCTTTCTGACCAGCACTGAGAGTCCATGAGGGGTAGTGTGACGAACACTGGAAGAGAAGACTACATAGTTAGGCTCTAGTACAAACTAACTGTGAGTCTCAGGTTTCCTCATTTACACAAGATTAAAAATTACTGCCCACAACACTGTGATATTGTAAATATGAAAAGAATTAATGAACAGCAAAGTGCTTTGTGCACAACAACTATTCCAACTCCCTGCATTGGCATCTCCCACCTATTTATGTTTCTGGACTCCTCTAACTGCCAACAAGAAACGCCATGGAGAAAGCTCTTTTCCATCATCCTCTTGGTTCAGCAGTGGATTCTATAATCTCACACCAGTTCTGCCAATGATTCAATTTCATTCATTTATGAAACACTTACTTAACACTCACACCTGTGTTAGGTGCTGGAGATACAAAAGGGAATAATAAATGATCTCTAATGTCCATCTGACTGACTTCTATGATTAACTCTCAATTGGTTCCAAACCCTGGTGGGAAAGAAGAGTATTATTTATTGAGTCCTAAAACCCCAGCAACTTACAGCCAGTTTTGGTGACAAGAGCTTGGTGAGCTCCAGACATTATCCCTAGCAGATAGCACAAGAAGCAGCCAGCTTATCATCCTGTGCCAGGGGCCACATTGTAATGACCTTCTCCAAATTACAACACTGACCCAAGTGTAAGGTGCCTTACGACTCAATTGAGTAGTATTTATTGAGCACCTACTATGTGCCTCATACTGTATTATATCCTTAGGACTGCAAAAGAAACATCAGACATGGTCTCTACCATTAAGGGGCCCACAATTTAGTTGAGGAAACATGAATAAAAGAGGAAACAATTGGAGATCAACATGTGTCAGGACTTAATCAGGTATCAAGCGGTGAGACCAGAGAAAGGAGAGGTCAAACAAAATGAGAGCAGGATTTACACGGTAGATAGGAATTCAGTTGGCCCTACAGGATGGAAGGTAATGGGGCAATATGAGAAAGACAGTGAAGGACACTTCTTCCTGGGAGAACAGTATGCCTGGAAGCCATACTTCCAGGGAAATAGCATGGTGTGTGTGTGTGTGTGTGTGTGTGTTTGTGTGTGTTGGATCATAGGGCGGGAAACCACATTGACTAGAACAGAGCTCAGTGCTAGCCTAGAATGGGGCTCAGGGTTAGGAGCTGAGCAGATGTAGAGGCAGAACATGAAGAGTCTTGATTGTGGGCAGAAAAGTTCATATCCCATTGTAGGTTCTTAGGCAGAAAGTAGCAGCAAAAAAGTCACATCCTTCTAAAAGAAGAACTGGTAAGACAGAGTATTAGATTTAGTGTTCCTTTGTAGGTAGGCAGTGGCAGCAATAGTTAAAACCACATAATGTCCATCTTGTTTACTCCTTGATTCCAGAATCAACAAAACTGGGTCCTACTTTGTACGTATTACAGGAAGCATTTGAAGAACAACAAGAATTTGACACTTACCTAGTAAGTGGAGTATAGAGGTTGCCATTGCCTTTCCAAGAGCATTGGTGGCTGTGCAGACATAGGTTCCTTCATTTTCAAGGGAAACGTTCTGCAACAACAGGGATCCATTGAAAAGCAAGGAAATATTGTCACTCAGAGATCCTCCTCTCTTCAACCAAGTTATATTAGGCTGAGGGACACCTTTGGAATAAAAACAAATATGACAAAGGCAAATTCCTTTAAGAATAGGGCCATAGAACCATATGACAGATACCATTCAGCATTTTGACCACATCAGCAAATGGGTTTAATCACATATAATAGGAAAAATGGCTATTTCTATTTCTCTAGCTCCTCTGTGTCAGGTGGGAGATCTGTTAAAGCACAGGGCTTTGGTCTACTAAGGACCTCATTGATTTAAGGATATAAGTCAAAGAATAGGGAGCCAAAGAGGGTGGGATTGCTCTGTACCAAGAAGGGAAAGAAATTTGAAGTTGAGTGGGGGTAGTGGGAGAATGGTTGGAAAAGAGAAACTGGTGAAGTTAGGTGAATGTGGAGGCAGAGACAGAGAGAGAAATGCCCAGTGGTGGGTTGTCACAAAGAAGTCTTTGGAAAACAAAAATATCTCTAATATGGGTCTTTAAGTTGTTCACTGTGCACATGCAATGAAACGTTCCTCCTTCAGGAGGAATATAAAGTCTTCAGGGAAACAGATTTTGTTCATTAATACTTTTGTAAAATTTCAGGATACAAAAAAAGGTGTTAATTTCAGGGAATAAAAAAAGGTGTTGAGTTTCAAGTCTGGGTTGACGTAGTGCGGTGCAGAGACCGCAAGCAACATCTCTGGACACAGAGGGGAGCATGAGGAATTAAAAGAATTTCTTCCCCCAAATCTTGAGAAGTCTTAGCATTTTGCTGGGCTGTGGAATGAGAAATTCAGGGGAATCTCATTTGGCTCTTAAGAGCTAGGGCAGCCTCTGAATGATGCCTGAGATCAAGCTAGGTAACTGGTTGAGGACGTCCTCCGCTCCTGCAGTGCCCTGGATGGAGAGACTGTGGCAGACACAGCAAGGCTTTCTGACAAAAAAGAGATGTCCCCACTATTATCATGACATTTGCAATGCTCCCCACTGTAGGCAAACGCATGCTCCATGAGGCACTGATTCTCGCAGTCATTCCCACGCCCTGGGAAACAGTCACTGTTAGCTCCATCTTACAGTTGAGGAAGGTGGTCAAGTCAAAACTAGGCCGGAACCTAAACACCCAGAGAAGTGCTAATCACACGTGCACGTATCTTTTCAGTTGTTTTTTCTACAAATATACACACACAGACATGTTAAGCTTTCCTAAGGTCCCCAGCTAGTAAACACTGGAGCTGGGAGTCATACCACGCAGTTTACTCCAGAACTGATCTCTTAGCCACAGTGTAGGTAGGACTTGTGTATTTCTTGATAAATTTATTCCTAGGCATCTTATAATTTTTAATGCCATAGTAAGCAGGCTCTTTAAAAATATATTTTATAGTTGTTTATTGCTTAGGACAATTAGAAAAGCTATGAACACTTGCATATTTATCTTGTATCCAGTCATCTTACTGAACTTTACTATTTTGAATAGTTTTCAATTGATTTTCTTGTTTTTTTAAGGTAAACAGTCATATCATCTGCACATAATGACAATTTTATCTCCTCTTTTCCAAGATTATACCTATAATTTCTATTCACTATTGCATTGTATTAACTAATGTCTCTAGAAGAATACTGAATAATAACAGTTACAGCAAGTATATTTGTCTTGTTTCCAACTTTAAAGGAACTATTACTAATGTTTAATCCTTAAGCGTGATGTTTGCTTTTGGTTTCTGATAGTTGTTATCAGATCAAAGAAATTTCCTTCTATTTCTAGCTTACATGGAAATTCCTAAGTCTTTGAGTTAATTTTTAGTTTAATTTGCTTATTTTAAATTAAAATATTTAAAGCTATTAATTTTCTTTTGAGTACAGCTTTGGCTATATATCTTAGATTTTGAAATGCAATACAACGATTTGCCATTATTTCATTCATTCAAAAAATGTTTATCAAGTGAGACTGTACATGAGGCTCTATGCTGGTGCTAAGAATATGATGGTGACCTAAGTTCCTCAAGAAATTTAATTTTACAAGGGAGCTTTGGAGGGAAACAGGTGACTGTAATAAAAGGAGATAAGGGCTTATGATAAAGGTAAACACTGGATGCCACTGGCACCTAGCAGCTGTAGTTCATGCAGACTGGAGAGATGGGGAAGATTCCCACATGAAGGAACATTTAAGCTAATACTTTAGGACAAGTAGGAACACATCAAGTGAAGGAGCTGGGGGTAGCGGGGAGATTGTTTTAGGTAGAAGGAACAGCATGCATAAAGGCCTAGACACAAAGGACAATATAGTGCATTTGGAGAATCATAAATTGTTTATTATGACTAGAGCTTAAAGTACATGGGGAAGGAGTGAGGACAGATGAAACTAAAGAGGTGAGCAGGTGCCCATAAAATAAAAATTTATTATCCACAGTAAGGAGTGTGGTTGAATTTATTCTAAGGGAAATAGGAAACAATTTAATTATTTTAATCCGATGAAAATATCAGACTGGTGCTTTAGAAATATCAGTTTGGATATGATGTAAGATGGGGAAGAGGGAGACAGGGTCAGGAGGACTGGTTAGGTGGTTACTGAAGCAATGGACGTGAGAGAAAGGGTGTGAAGACAAAGCTGGGGACAGTGGATCTAGAGAGAAATAGATTAACTTAGTAAATATTAGACAGGAAAAACCAACAGGACTTGGTGATTGATTTTATACGGGGGAGTAGAGGAGAAAAAGGATTTAAGGACAACATGCAGATAGAGGGTAGTGCCATTAATTGAAACAGGGAAAATGAGAGGAAGAGCAGATTTGCATGGAGTACATGATAAATTATTGTAAGCATGTTGAGACTGAGGTAGCTAAATAATATCCAGAAGCAGCTGACTCTGGATTTGGAACTCAGAAGTGTCTGGACTGGAGATATAAGTGTTAACATACAAATGATTACTGAAATCATGAAATTAAACGAAGTGATTAGCGGAGAAAGCATAGTATGAGTGCAGAAGAGGGTTCAGGATAGAACTCTGAGGAGCAGAATGATTTCCTGAGTCGCTGGGAATTGCATCTGATTTTCACTTTGACTCACATGTTACTTAGAAAGGAATTTTAAAATTTCCAAGTAGTTGGCATTTTATTCACTCAACATTTTGTAAAGGAGTTGTACCTTTAGTGCCTTGTGATCAGAAAATGTAGTCTGTACAATTTCTGTTTCTTGAAATTTCTAAGGTGTATATACAATCTTTTTTGGTAAATGTTCTATAGATACTTGAAAAGAAGGTACACTATTTCTTTTTAGGGTGTAAAGTTCAAATACATACAACAATTAAATCTTATATTCTTTTAGTATGTCTTCTTATTTATTTGTTTCTCCTTGAGCTTTCATGTCCAGAAAAAGTGCTCAAATCTATGTTTATAACAATTTTTCCTATTTTTGTTTTCATATATTATACTGTATCCAGCGCATGACAGTTCACGGTGACTATACTTTTCTGCATATTTTATTTTTTTAAATGAACATCTTTTTATCTTGTTTTTGGTCTTGAATCCTATCTTGTCTGATTTTACTATTGTGGCTGCTGATGGTTCTGTTTCTGTTTCCTTCTGCTTAATATGCTTTTGTCCAATCTTTAAAACTTTCTGTATAGTTCTATTTTGGAAATGTCTCTTGTAATAGTATATCATTAGGTTTTATTTAGAAACCCAATCTGAGAGCTTTTGCTTTTAACAGCAGTGTTGAACCTCCTTAATATTTATGGTGATTACACATGAGTTTGGGTTTACTTTTGTCATTGTTTTAGGCTTTCTGATTTTACCAGCCTTTCAATTATCCTTTCTGTGTTCCCTTTTCTCTTACAATGTGGAAACTGAATGTTGTATTTTAAGTTCCAATAATGTTACAACTTGCTTAAAAAATAAACTAGTTGACAGCAATTTGGCAAAACCTACCAAAATTACAATTGCATTTATTCTTTAATCCTTTTCTAGGAATTAATGCTACCAGTATACCTGCATACAAAATGCTCTATGCAGTTATATAAAAGCAAAAGATTGGAAACAATTTACATATCCCATAATAGGGAACCATTAACTAACTTATGGTACATCTATGCAATAAAATATCATAAGCCACTATATAAAAGAATACAAAAATTTCCTATATATTCATATATAAATATTTCTAAGAAATATTGTTCTTGATGATATATTTAAAGGACTGAAAGAAAAATACTGCCAACCAATAATATACCTAGCAAAACTGTCCTTTAGAAATGAAGGAGAAATAAAGACTTTCCCAGACAAACAAAAGCTGAGACAGTTCATCATCACTAGACCTGCCTTACAAGAAATGCTAAAGGGAATTCCTCAAGTTGAAAAGAAAGGACACAAAACAAAAACACGAAAGCACATGAAAGTATAAAACTCACTGGTAAAGGTAAACACATACATACACAGAATACTATAATATTGTAATGAGAGTGTATAAATCACTTTTAACTCTAGTATAAAAGTTAAAAAACAAAAGTAGTAAGAATAACTATACATACAAAAATTTGTTAATGAATATACAATATAAAAAGATGTAAAGTGTGACATCAATAACATAAAGTGGGAGGACGGAGAGGTAAAAGTGTAGAGTGTTTGTATATGATTGAAGTTATTCTATTATCACCTTAAAATAGACAACTATAAAATGTTTTATGTAAGCCCCATAGTAACCACCAAAAATACCTATAGTAGATACACAAAAGAAAAAGAAACAGAAATCAAAGCATATCACTATTTTAAAAAAATCAATGAATCAAAAAGGAAGACAGAAAAAGAGGAAAAGAAGGACAAAAGAACCACAAATCATACAGAAAAAAATTAACAAAATGACAATAGTAAGTCCTTACGTATCAATGATTACTTTAAACATAAATGGATTAAACTCTTCAATCAAAAGGCACAGAGTGGCTGAATTGATTAAAAGAAAAACAAGATCCAAGTACATGCTGCCCACAAGACAATCTCTTTAGAATTAAAGACACACATAGGCTGAAAGTGAAAGTATGGAAAAAAGATATTCTATGCAAATAGTAAC